TACAACCATTCTTAGCGCTTTTTGCTCTAGTTTCTAGAAACATGCCAAGCAGCATCAAAATAAAAATCAAATCCATAAGTATTTATTGAAGGCTTATTCTATGAAAGATAATGACTGCTGTAAAGCCTAGGAAATATTTTTAGCTTCATGCATTATCAGTTGCCTGATACCAAATGTACTGTCTTACTGGAACACTACCATGGAATATTCTGAGTGCCATTACTGCTCTTCAAAGAGTTCCTATGAGGACAAGTCTATGCTCAATCTTTACATGAGAAAAAGAAAACGCAACAGAGATAAGTATAAGATTTCATTTTATTGTTCATAGTGTGTTACTATATCATCTGATGAGATAAATTAAAGTTCCATCTGACTGCCCCAGTGAATGAGAACAAGAAGTTTACCTCGTAATAAAAAAACTAACACTCCCAGCCCCTTCCCTGAAAGCTATACACTAAATTGTGCTTTCATATTAGTAAACATTGGCAACCAGTGGGCTTTTCACTTTATTATTTTTCACGGTTATATCAGTTGACCTAGCTTTGCAATGTATATTGCAGAAGGGCCAGACCTTAGGCCGGTAAGCAGGTCTTGTGATCTCTGCAGATTTACTCATTAGCCAGCAAGTTCTGAAATAGAGCTGTGCAGTAGAAATATGTGAGCCACTTATGTTATTTTAAATTTTCTAGCAACCACATTTTAAAGTACTCTTAAAGTAAAAGGAATAGGTAAAACTGACTTACTAACGTTTTTTTAAACTAAAATACCCAAAATAATGTCACTTCAATGTAATTAATACACAAATCATTTTGATATTTTACATTCTTTTTTATTTTGTCTTTGAAATCCAATTTCAAAGTGGGTATTTTATACTTAGAGTAAATCTTAATTTGGACTAAGATTTTGCATTTTAATTGCTTAATAGCTACATGTGGCTGGTGGCTGCCATATTAGTGCAGCTCTATACTATTGTTGGGTAACTTGGTAGGGTAAAAACTTAATAAAAATTTAACACTTTATATGGAAATGTATATTATATATTACTTTATAATTAAATAAAAAATAAATTGAAGTGACTAAAATGGATAAATTTAAATTAGAAAAAAGTTAAATATATTAAACTTTTTAAAACTTACATTACAAAACACATATCATATGGACAAAATAAAAAGATATGGAAGAAAAGGATATCAGATCATAGAAAGCAAATAATTTATCAAGATATAGCACAGGTACCTAATTTCCTATTTTTAAATTTGAACATAAAGAAATAACTTGAAAAACATTCTTTATAAATGAAAGAAGGATATAGGTCATTTAGTATATGCACAGGCAGAAATTCTAGGGATCCTCACATAGTTCACCAGGATTCACAAGAGAAGTCTGCTGTGTATTTAAAATAGAATGTGATAAGTGATAACATTGAGATAGATACTGGGAAGAAAGGAAACACAAAACGAAGTACTGGACTGAGAGTGAGTACTGAATAACTGTACTGTGTACAACAGAGTGCATGAATGCTTCCCAGAAGAAGCTACAATTGAAGTCTTGTAGAAGTGCTTGTGGGAGTAGCTTAGCTATAAAGGAGATGAGAAACATACTTCAGGTGTAAGGACTAGAAACTTTTTCCCTCAAGAAAAAGGGAAAAAAGACATATCATTTGGGGGAGTGAGGAGGTGTTTGAAGACAATAAAGTGAAAATTTGATATAGGATCTCCCTAAATAATGTTCAATATTTTGTTGAATATTGAGTTAATTAATATTACTGTACTAAAACCCAACAATTGAGAGCTAGAAATACAAGTGGGTGTTATAAGTCAGTTTCTAAGCAGGAAAACAGAAACCATTCCTAATATGTAAAACACAGGGAATTTAATCCACAAAATTGATTACCCAAGTGTTATAATTGCCGAGAAGCCAAACAAGGCAAATGAAGCCCTGTTTACCTTCAAGACTGAAGGGACACAGAAGGTAATGTTGGAGTACACTAGGCTCAACTCCTGGTCCTTTTATCTTCTCTGTTGACACCCACTTCTTTCGGAACCTCTTCTAGGCTCTCATGTCAATGAGTCCCAAATTTATACCTCGGCCAATATATTTCTCCCAAAATTCAGATTCAGCATTCTACTTAGAGTTTTAAAGACAACTCAAGTTCAACTGAACTCCTTATCTTTTCCCAAAGCTTACTACATCTACAGCCATCCCATTTCAGTTGACACCAAGTTTCTCCCTCAAGCTGCTAAGGGCAGAAATTTTAGAGTCATCATTGTCTCTTATCTTTCTCTCACATTCAACATTTATCCATCAGAAAATTCTTTTGGCTCTACTTTCAAAATATATCCAGAATCGGATTGTGTCTCTTTGCCTCCATTGCTACCACCCTAGTCTGAACAAATATCATTTGTCACGTGGGTTGCTACAATAGATCTTCCTGTTACTATCTTATTATTATTCTATCTATTAGCAGCATAGCAGCCAGAGGGATACTTTTAGACCTAGATCAGATCACGTCACTCCTTTACTCAAAATCTTGCAATTGGTCTCCTCTTACAGACAGTAAAAACCAAAGTCCTTATATTGGCCTGAAAGGTCCTACATGAATGACTCCTGTTACATCTCAGACATCATAACCTAATATTTCCACCATTGCTTCTTTGCTCCAGACACAGTGCTTAATTAATAAATAATTACTATGCAAAGATGCTCAACATTGCTAGCTATTAGGGAAATGCAAATCAAAACCACAATGAGATATGATCTCACACCTGTTAGAATAGCTATAATCAACAGGACAATGAATGTTGGAGAGGATGCAGAGAAAAAGGAACCCTCATACACTGTTGATGGGACTGCAGATTGGTAGACACTATGGAAAACAGTATGGAGTTACCTCAAACAACTAAGAATTGATCTATCATATGATCCAGCAATCCCTCTACTGGGTATTTACCCCAAAGACTTGAAAACTCATATCCAAAAAGATATTTGCACACTGATGTTCATAGCAGCATTATTCACAGTGGCCAGGACATGGAGGCAACCAAAGGGTCCTAGGATAGGTGATCAGCTAAAGAAGC